GGTCTGACTTCTTTATTTTTCTTGTGCTTTAAGTATATTTAGGAAACCATGGCATAATCCAAGGTCACAAAGATTTATACCTATGTTTTCCTAATAAGTTTTATAGTTTTGGCTCCTGAATTTAAGTCTTTGATCCATTTTGAGTTAATTTTTTATATGGTATGAAATAGAAGTCTAACTTCATTCTTTTGCATGTAGATACTCAGTTTTTCCACTGTTTTTGAAAAGACTTATTTTCCCTCATTAAATTGTCTTGGCACCCTTGTTGAAAATCAATACTTTCTTTACGGCGCTTACTCCCATCTGAAATTACATCATCTAGTTACTTGTTTATTATTCCCAAACTCCCTCACTCCCCTTCCCCCTATACTTGCTCTCCCTCACCCCACACATACAAACTAAACTGAGTTTCAAGAAGACAGAAACTTCCTCATTCACTGTTTATCTCCAGTGCCTGGGACATAGTCAGCACTTAATAAATATTTGTTGAATGAATGAATAAATGACACTGAAGTTTTGCTTAGAAGCAATGACCATTTTATGTATCTATCCCTCCTCAGTGCAGGAAATCATTTAATTTAGGGCGAAAAAAGATTGTTGAGCACAAATGATTGTTGTGCCTAAATGATACTTCATAACCATTTCCTGGATTGGATGAGTTAGAGCCTAATTAGGCAAGTTAACTACCCATTGGTAAAGAGAGCCTGCAGAGAACTGTGACAGAAATCTGAAGGCAAGTGTAAAGGGACTCTCCAAGATGCACTCTTGATGTTCCAGTAATGACTTCAACCGGGATATAGCCTTAGGCAGTTGCCTTCACTTCTTAAAGCCTTCTTAGTTCACTCATCTCTGAACAGGGAGCTCGATGTACCACACCAGCTGTCGGGGTGCATGCAGTACTAGTATTCTAGTGTTCCAATGTTTTGGATTCTTTAGAAACAGGTTCTTTAGTCAACTAAAGTTAGTCTATTCAAGGAATATTGTTTTTACTTGCAACTTACCTTTCAAAGATAAATATTAACCACTCTGTTAACAAAAAAGATACTTCATTAAAAGACAATATGAGTTTTCTCATGAAAACTGTCTGAAATAACTGTGACCATGAATATAAAGATTCAGTGCTCTCCCTAAAAGTAAGTAGATAAAACTCTTAGCCAACTGCCTAAAACAGAAAAGGTTTTCAAAGGTTCCCCTCTTCCCCCGCTCCTATTTAGAAGGAAAGAGCATGCCCTCCCACTAGTGGAGGAATTAAGCAACTGCTCCATTTTCCAAGAAGCTCCATTTATGAGCTCCATCTTGTGGTGAAAACTGTTAGCTAAGCTTTAGAGCCATTACCATAATTCATTGCCCACACAATCATTGAAAACTCCAGAGTCTACAGAAGCCAGGGACATAAAGATCTACGAGTGAACATGGCAGAGGTAAGAAAAACAAACCAAGTGCCAGGAAAATAATCAAAACTTTATTTTTCTAAATTATGATTGCAACCATACCACATAATGCACACATGTATAACACTGGCAGTTGTATCTTAAATTCAAAATTGAAAAAATATAAAACAAAAATAGAAATATTTTACTTTTAACATTTTCTCTCACAATTTGTTGACTTTTGTTTTGGAACCAGGAATCTGCGACTTTTTCTTCAGCACCAACATGTCGTTGTTAAATCTTGGATCAAGTTCTATGTGAACACAGAATTTGGCCTTGCCAGGTAGCCCTGACTAGGAGTGATATTTAGTTTTACTTAATTTACGGAAAACAGCTGTTTAAAAACCTAGGCATTTTCAAACATGATTTTCAAAAATCTTTGCACAATTGTTAAGATATCTACAGGAGCTTGGCGTTCTGGTGTCACTGCACTAAATGTTCCATCCCGTATTACACTGCACATCATCTTTTACACGATTGGTAAGGACTGGTAAAGGAGCACCAAGCAGTGGGAGGTTATCTTCAGAGTTTGAAATCAAATCTGGGAAGTCAGTTTCCACTGTATCACAATTTCCATCACTGGGTTCAGGCCATCAGTTACAGTTCCAGAAGCTAATTTTAGCATAGAAAAGAGAACTGAATAACTACACCAGATAACTTTCTCCATAATGTCTTATAGCTACTGTGGATGTCTTTGCAGGGAAATATCCAAAGTGTTTGTCAACCCGAAAGGCCACTTACGTGATAACGGCCTTTGCAGCTTAGCATAAGCAAAGATTTTTTTTTTCCTCAGAAGATGTGAATGAGTTTATTTCAACAGTTCAACACCTCTCCTTAGTGTTCTGCCATGACTAGGCCTCCCAACCTACGTGCAGTGAGCAGACTCCTGTCTTACGTGTCCAATTCATCAAACAGCACCCGGAACACTCTATGGCCCAAGTCCCAGGAGGAGATCCAGCTTGCAGGTGGTGAGCTCTGTGTCCATGACATGTTCCATTTTTAACTTCTAGCAGAAAGCAATTCCTGCTGAAGGAAACAAATGAGTGGATGTAAAGTCTGTGTCCTTACATAACCTGCCACATGGAACTTCAGTTTTATTGCAAGTCCAATATTAACACCATCTATCCCAGGAACATCATCTATATTAAATTGTTTGAAAGTTTCCTCTATTACAAAAATTAATTTCTTAGTTACTTCCTAGTGTGGTGCCTGTCATGGGCACACTGTCCAAAATATTTTTAGGCATATAAAAATTCTCAAACTCAGTGAATAAATAGAGCTAATTATTACATCTAAGTATTACTAAATATGTACCCATCAGCTGCAATAGTGAATGTCATGATGTTTAAAAATTGTCACACAATTTATCTTTAATTTCCTAGACATATTTCCAGTACACTGAACAACAGTATTTCTGGTTACACTTACATTCACACGTGCTTATATTTTTTCAGGACACACAATTTCTACTACATGCAATAGACACTCTTTTACAAATTGCTATCTGTGAAGAATTTGATGTCCTAGACAGATTTTTCACTTATACAAAACTGCTTATTTTATAAGCAACCAAAACAAACCTTGTTGACATTTCAATTCTCTTTGCAGTTCATTAGATTTTCATCACACATCTTTTCCACATCCCTGGTCTTTGTTCTTACAGTGATTTGTTTCATAAGGGCATCTAGGCCATTTTCTTTAATTATATCCTTTGCCAAATAAGCACATAGGAATGGTCTTTAATTTACAAAGTGGAACATATGATCTTCTAGGTCCGTCGTCTTCTCCTTTCTTCTCAGAGAGATATGAGAAATATTTTGCTTTTCTAACACTATACAGTGGATGTGACTTTCACAAGCCAGAAACTCAGTTTTGCAAAATACTATGATTATTTTATATAATTCAACCTCTCGATCTGGTCCCCTTCTAACTGATGGAAGAAAATGTCCTTTTAGTCTTCAGGAAGTCATTCAGTCACTTCTACAAGGATGCTGAGTGGCACTGTTCCTGCTGGCCCAGAATTGACCCTAAAGCCCATACTCTAAACCATGAAGGAAGTATCCCTAAAGGGCAATGGTTCTCAACAACCCCACACTCCCTATTAGAATTGTAATGGGAAGCTTTGGGAATGCCAATGCCTCACTTTTCTCCAGAACAATTACTCAGAATCTTTGAGGGTGGAATATAGGTATTGATTTTTTTAAAGCCCTTCAGGTAATTCAGGCAATTCTAGTATGTAGAGAGGGTTGAGAAGGACAGATCTAAAGAAAGCAGCGAAGAACTGAGGCTAGATACCTACCTGCAAAGCTTACCAAGAGGTGGCAATACCAGCCCTACCGACACCACCCATGGTCCCAACAGCAACCCTCCACCTAAGTCTATACCGATAAAAAGATGAGCAGAGGGGCCAGCCCAGTGGCACAGTGGTTAAGTTCATGCTGTCCGCTTCAGTGGCCTGGGGTTCACAGGTTCCAATCCTGGCTGCCAACCTAGCACCGCTTGTCAAGCCACTTTGTGGCAGCATCCCACATAAAATAGAGGAAGAATGGCATTCATGTTAGCTCAGGGACAGTCTTCCTCAAGTAAAAAGAGGAAGATTGGCAACAGATGTTAGCTCTGGGCCAATCTTCCTCACACACACACACAAAAAGACAAGCAGAGGGAGAGAGCGAGAGGAGTGACTAGAGTTATGTGCAGTACACTGGAGAGCTGCCACAGAGCCCTTTCACGGAACAGCCAGCATATGGATGCCTGGCCCCCAGAGTCACCCATAACCAGATGGCATTGGCCAGGGAAGCAGCAGCAACCACAAGGTAGCACATTTACCACAGCAGCCAGTCAAATAAAGAGACTGTCATCTATCCCCTCTCTCCCACACCAGTGCCCTGGAGAGCCAGGGCTGAAGAGGGAGGGACGGACGTCCCAGAGCCCACGCTGTCCCCGTCCAATTCGAGTAGATGAGGTCTCAGCTCAAACTGTGCTTGGGGAAAAGGGAGCAGGTAAGGTTTAAACCAAATAAGAAACTAAATTGGACTGTTAAGTACCAAAAAAGACTAGAAAAGATTAAACTTGCCCAAGATATCACTATGGGATGGGGAAGGGAGATGCAACAGCACAGAGCTGAGCACTATGATTGAAGGAGAAAATCTTGTTCATGTTTATCCCACTCACTGAGTTGACATTGCTCCACAAACCAGTGTTTTCTCAGTCATACCAGACTTAAACACTATAATTACAAGATTTTCGCAGGGTTTCTTCTTCCTGACCTCTCTGAGGAAACATCTGTTATCCTTGGGATCAAACAGAGCCTTGGAGGGAGGCAGGGGGGAGTCTCTTCCATGGCCATTGCTCTGACCTTGCATTGGCTTCATCTGAACCCAAGCTCACAAAGCCTCCTTGATACGACCACCAGACTCCTTTGGAATCCATTAACTCCCTCAGCACATTTCCAGACCCCTTTTGTGAGCACAAGGAAGCTTTAGTAGCTCTCCCAAGTGTGGATGGGCTGCGGGCTCAGGAGCAATCTTGCAGCCCACCTCTGCCTTTGACACCCCCATGCAGCCATGAGTGGTGGGCCAATATGTGGGGCCCCTTTCAGAAATGCTCCCCTTCTCTAACTCTTTCCTCACTCTTCCCCAACTTGGAAAAGCATTTGCTAGTCTGCATGGTGGTGCTTGAGAGAGAATTGAAAGGAAAATGGTTCCCATAATCATATATTCTTCCAATCTGTTCTATCCTACCCCTAGACCAAAGCTTTTGAACTTAAAAACCAAGAATTTGAAAACTTTGGTGTTTGGTCCCCCCATGAGAATTTCCCTAAAATAAAGGTGCCTCATTCTAGCTCCCCCAGTGAGGAAGGAATACAGAATAAGAAATGAATTGACCCCACATCCCTATAAATATGCCACATGCTCACCAGACCCCACTGCTCTTGTCTCTTAAAATTAAAGAAAAATGGAAATGAACATCAACAGAAGATGGTACCTGAACAGTGGAAATTAACAATTATGTGCAAGAAATTTGGAGAGATATTATTTGCTACAAACTTGCATAAGTTGGGACAAAATAAACAAAAAAATGAGTTTGGCTCTTTTAAATATGTGAAAGCTGCTGACAAATATACTACTCTCCTCTATTAGCAGAAGTAACAGAAATTAGTGACTCTCTTACCAAAGATGCAGAACTTGTCAACGAATCTTCTTGTTTCCCGTTTCTGCCTATTACAAATAAAGCTACTATGTACATTCTTGTACAAGTCTATGTGTTGACCAGGACTTTTCATTTCTCTAAACAATGCTTTCTTAATTTTGCAATATATTGCTTTGTCTGGTGCTATTTCTATACAAATATGATTTAATAAGACAATTTTATAATAAAAATAAATCTCTGACTACTTGAAATAAATTAATTTGTGGGTGGAGAAATCTATTTTTATCATCCCTCCATTTATATTATAAAACTTATAATAAGGCAAGCACACTGGCACGAGGCCTCAGGGTCAAGAAGACACTAGGAATCGGTGGATACTATAACAAATTGAAAAGTGCATACTTACCTTGTTTTAAATGGGCAGCCACTATTCCACTTCAACCAATTCACCATGCAGATACAATATTGCCAAGTCTACTAATTTTCCAAGAGAAGACAAATTTTTTTTTGTGCATCTATGCAATCTCCTAAATTTAAATGTTGGGCAATAAAAAAAATTAAGCACTAGTGGACTAATGCTGTCCAATATTAGACATTACAAGATAAAATACAACTGCAGGCCAGATTTGGCCTAAGACATTGGTTTCTAGCTAAGGCTTTGGTTCTCAATCCTGGCTATGAGCAATACGACCTTTCAGCTTTTTAAAAATACAGCATACCTGGTTTATCTCAGATTCTCCTTTACTAGATCAGCAATGAGTCCTGGGCATCTATCTCAGATTCTGATTCACTGGGTGAAGAATGAGTCCTGGGCATCTATATATTTTTTTAAAGTGCCAGAGCTCATTCTGTTTCACAGCCAGGGTTAAGAAGTAGGAAATTAAATTTCAAATCACAGTGTTTGGCCACATTTTCCAACTTCAACATCGTGTTTGAAACACTCTGAAGCCTTCCCAGACTAACTCTACCTGATTCTGAGCTCAAATAGTGATGGGGATATCAGTAAATTATAATTGGTGATAAAGACAGAAACAATGAAAATGTGACTGTCGAGTCTTTCCTGTCTCTAATTCCCCCAAATGGCATCCAATTTTGGCTTTTCTGTGTACTATTTGAGGACATTATAATATCTGTCCTTGGTGGAAGAAACTGATTCTAAGTAAAAGACATTCATGTATGAGCTGATAGGAATTTCTTATTCACAAACACACCAACCGAAGGAATGAAAACTCTCCCAAAATAAGGGAGATAATAAAGGAAGGAGGAGAAGGCAGATCAAAGAAGCTGTATGCATTTTTACAGATAATTTAGCAGATAACAGGTCTTGTGAGACTGTGAGGAAGGTAAGATCCCTAGCCTGGGATTCTTGCTCTGTCAGGTGAATATGGACTTAAAGTAAATATGGTAAGAAGGTGCTGGGATAGGAGGCTGTCTCACATTTTTTCCAATGGACTCGTGAAGGCCCAAGACAAATGAGTATGAAAAATGGAGACAGCCAGTAACCAGATCCTCTCATCATTTGCATTTCAAGCCTCTAACTTGTAGTCATGTGACAAGCAAATGAAGACAAATTGGAAATAACCATTAACTGGGGGTGAGGGGGGGAATTATAATAACATTGAGTGAGGGTCAGAAGATTGCAGAGCATATACTAACATTTCTTGGCGTGGACACCTGAAAGTCAGGACCAAAGAGAATGGCGACAGTGAACACAGATGCCATGGATAAAGACACGTCCAGGTTTAAAATCATCTTTACCTTGCTGGTCTCCGGAATAGAGTGCACCATTGGCATCGTTGGGAATGGCTTCATCACAGCTATCTATGGGGCGGAGTGGGCCAGAGGCAAAAGACTACCCATTGGTGACCGCATCCTTTTGATGCTGAGCTTTTCCAGGTTCTTGCTACAGATCTGGATGATGCTGGAGAATACTTACAGTCTACTATTGCGGGTCATTTATACCCAAAACGCAGTGTATAAACTTTTCAAAGTCATCATCATGTTTCTGAACTATTCCAACCTCTGGCTTGCTGCCTGGCTCAATGTCTTCTATTGTCTTAGAATTGCAAGCTTTATTCATCCTTTGTTCTCCGTGATGAAGAGGAAAATCATGGTGCTGATGCCTTGGCTTCTGAGGCTGTCACTCCTCATCTCTTTATGCTTCAGCTTTCCCTTCTTTAAAGATATCTTCACTGTGTATGTGAATAGTTCCATTCCTATCCCCTTCTCCAACTCCACTGAGAAGAAATACTTCACTGAGACCAATGTCTTCAATCTGATTCTTCTTTATTATCTGGGGATCCTCATTCCTCTGATCATGTTCATCCTTGCAGCCACCCTGCTGATCATCTCTCTCAAGAGACACACCCTACACATGGAAAGCAATGCCACTGGCTTCAGGGACCCCAGCATGGAAGCTCACATGGGGGCCATCAAAGCTATCAGCTACTTTCTCATTCTCTACACTTTCAATGCAGTTGCTCTATTTCTTTCTATGTCCAACATCTTTAATGCTGATAGTTCCTGGAATATTTTGTGCAAAATCATCATGGCTGCCTACCCAGCTGGCCACTCAGTGCTACTGATCTTGGGAAATCCTGGCCTGAGAAGAGCCTGGAAGAGGTTTCAGAACCGAGTTCATCTTTACCTATAAGGGCAGACTCTATAACTGGAACCCACAGAGTACTACAGGTCCAGCCAGCTCTGCCTTTTCCTCCCTAGACTTCTCTCCTCACCCATCTTTTCTCCCCTAATCTTGCTCTGACACTTCTCCTCAGGTAACTGGATCCTTTCATGAATGTGAAGCTGAATTTTTAACTTGAGATCTTAGGCAGAAGTAGCTAAGCAACTCTAAGACAGATTGATGAAAGCTCCTTGATCTATGCTCATTCATATCCTACCCTGAGCTCCTCTCCACTTTGTCCTCCCCGGAGCCTAAAGGAGAGGGTGACTGGACATCTCCGTTTGCCTAGGATGATCTCTGTTTGTTCCTATTGTCACTGAGCAACCTTTAATTCTCAAGGATATCTTGGTCTGGATGAAAAATTATATGGTCACTTTGTTTTTTCTTTTGGCTTTTAGGTAATATGACAAGTTTTTAAATTATTTTATTTATTTTTTAATTGAAGAATAGTTGACATACAATATCCTTATTAGCTTCAGGTGTACATCATAGTGATTTGATACTCGATATTTATACACACCCTTCTTAAGGCACCCTACTATCCCACAGTTAAGAAAAAAGAGGGCTAGTGATGAATCCTACAGAGAAAAGGGATTCAGGACAGAAAGGCTTACCAAAATTACCAAGTGTTGCAGAGGTTTCAGGAAAATGAAAAGTGAAGAAAAAGGCTATGGGCTTGACTAAATGGAGGCCACGTGCCCTATTAGTGGAGTGATGGGGTGGCATTCAGATTACAGGAGTTTCCAGGGAAGGTAATGAAGACAGTGAGGGAGTTTGTAAAGGCCAATAATTTCGGGAGGTTGTTTGGAGATAAAGATGAAATACAGGGTGGCAGGTGGATAAGCGGATGGTCGATTGATGCTTTATTTTTCCAAATGAGAGTGGAGAAAGTGAGAAGAGAGGAAGGGAAGAATGAAGGAAAAAAAGTGACCTGTGCCAGAAGCAGAAAGGATAGAAAGAGGCCAGAGTAAAGGATCATCTATTTTGTTTTTCTCCTGACTCTGTGACAATGCAAGTGGCACCTGTGCCTCTGGCTATACCCGTTTTGGGTCACCTCAAGGGCAGCCTACTTTGGAGTGGCTCTGAGAAGAAGGAAACATTGTCACTTCATTGTCACTCTTCAGAATGATACTGTCAGCACTGCCTCAAAGGGCTGTTCACCAAATAGGAGACCCCACCCCCCAGATACCTTGGAACTGGAAAGTTAGGAATTTGAGGTTTCCTTGTATTTGGTATTTTTAAAATCAAAATTACTGAGGAAAATATGAAAAGAATGATACTGATCACACCAAGCTTAAGGAGCTCCCAAACGAAAATGTAAGATCAGCAGCACAGACTAAACTCTGAGCTCCTAGCTCTTGAGCACATATTTCAGAGAGAGTCCCTTACATCCATAAACTGCGAAAAATCACACACATGTGCACACACACTCACCCACAGACATCCCTTTATAGTTCAGACAGCTTGGGGCTTATTTAACCAGAAAGGAAAATGTTTATGAAAACACCCTACTTTGATAGTTTTCCTAAAAGATATTTATTCATATGAATATTTAAGGTTGATATAGTTGTTAAAGTAAGATAAATTAGATTTTGAGGTTTCATTCTAATTCCTAAAGAATAGAGAAACACTTTTTTTTCCAAATAATATATGCAAACACACCCACTGAGCGTACTCTAATACGTCACAAATAAAAACAGACAATTGATTTAAAGTCATCATTTCATTAATGTGAACCATGCCAAGATAACTGGATAAACCCTCTCTGTGCTTATTACAAAGAAATATTATCTCATTGTTTGCAAGAGCCGAAGACAGCAGAAAGCTAACAAGGATGAGGACACGCTTATCAATAATGTACACTGCCCTACCTTCAACCAGACAAAGTTCTCTCCAGCTCTCCCTTCCTCCTTCCCGCTCTCCCTTCCTTCCTTTTTCTTTCTTGCTTTGAAACCCACCTAAACTTCCAGAATGGGCCAGAATACCTTGTCTTCAAACTGGTTGTCTCGAGACAGAAATCAGAAGTCCTAAAGAATCCATTTTGCAAACTCTATGTGACACCCCTGTCCCTGAGAGAGACTGAAAGTTATGGTGTGAAGGATTCCTTTACCTACAAAGTCACACTGGACACTCACCCTCTATGTGGAGCAGCTAAGGTGATTTTGGTTGCCAAGGGACTCCAGTCTGGAAGGCCCAGTTCAGGGCAGGTGTCTCAAAACTGGTCAAGTCCTTACAAAGGAATACTAGACTAGCAGCCAGGGCCAATCTAAGGGCTGGGATTTGAGGGGAACCAGATTATCCCACAGTCCAGCATAATCTTCCCTTCCAACTACCTCCTTGTCTGCTATATTCAGCCGTGGTCCCTGTTTTGCTTTGAGCTTGGTCTGTAAGAATTTTCTTTTATTATTCTCTCAGGAGTTCTTTACTTTGGGCTCCTAGGACAGAAACAGCTATTGAATGAGGGAAAAGAAACTACAAGTTCAATCAACCAGCAAGGAGTTTTGAGTTGGGGGAGGGGAGCAGAAACCAAGCACAGACATCAGAAGCAATCATGGCAGGAAGGGAAGGAAGAGACATCGAGTGAGAGGGAGCCCTCCCATCCCACTGCTGTTTCCTACTTCCCTCTGGAGAGAAATGGGATCCTTAGAGGAGAGGTGGGAGGAATGGAAATTTCTTACCTACTCAGAAAGATTGGTTTGTAGGAGAAGGAGGGAGGATAAACAAGCTGGGAGCCAGTCCTCAATGTGTGAAGTCTGAGGGAGCTTTCTAGGAGTTGACGCAGACTCTAATATGGGAGAGGTGAAAGTTGGAGGGAGATGCTCATCTCCGTGTCCTCTGGGAGGAGGTACCATGTTATGCAGTTAGAAGTTTCTGTTGGTAGCAGGAGGATGGAAACATTTTGGAGCCCGGGACATGGCCTGGAGGGGCAGGCCTGGGCACAAAGCAGCAGCAGACAGCACAAGCGGTTGGTGGGGGGTGGGGAGGGGGGGAGTGGAAGGCCAGGGCAGAAGGAAGCAGGACGTGGAAGGTGTGAAGGTGTTGAGTGCTGAAGACAAACTTGGCCAGTCCCAGTTGGGAGAAGCACTCAATTTATAGCTCCTGCCTGAGCCTTTGGGGATTATCCCTGCAAGCAACAAAACAGAAAGTCTCCCAAGAGCTCTCCAGAGGACCATTTCTGGGTGGGACCCTTCACAGTTCAGGGTGCGGTACGGCAAAGGAGCTCTGTGTCTGCGAAGTTAGCCTATCAACCAGCCTCGCTGGGGGAAAAGTGGATTTGTTTTAAGTTTCTGTTTTGTCTCTCATTTGGTTTTCCTTATGTCTTTAGTCAAGTGTCTTTTGAATGTTCTGCCCTTTCTCAGTTGTGTCAGGAGAACATAAGAGAAAAGGGGTTTTGAAGACAGTCCAAAAAGAAAAAGAATCAACAATCCCCTGGGTCTGGTTTGGTTTGACTGTGGCAGCAGCAGCAAGATGGGATCCAAGGAAAGAATTCCGAGGTGGATGTTAAGGGAAAAATCTCATCTCAGGCAGCTGTGCCCACCTGCCCCACCTTACCTCCTCCCTCCTGCCATGCAGTCTCTGGAGTCAAGATGATTTAAGTGTGGGTCCTGGCTCTGCTACTTACTCATGTGTGACATAGGCATGTTATTGCATCTCTCTGAACTTCAGTTTCTGTATCTGTAAAATGGGAATGACAATAGTAATAATAATACCTTCCTTCTAGGATTATCTATCTCATCCTAAGAAATGAGTGAGACAAAACACACTATCTGACCCAGAGTCAGCTCTCAGTAAATGTTAGCTGTTAATATTCTAAAGGTAAGGGATGTGAGGCTGAGAGGCAGGGTGTCTAGAATGAGGATATTCAAAGCAGGCCAGATGTGAAAAGGCCTCAGCCCAGACTGCGCCGGATGCAGCGAGCTGGGCCCCCACTGTAGACTAGGGGGCAGAACATGGCTCAATCCATAGCCGCTCAATCATCTTAGGGAGGGAGGGGTGTGAGTAGGGGGTGCCCTGAAGTATTCAACTCCTGTACCCTCTTCTAGCAACGTCAGAAAGACATCTAGTATGCTAGGGTTTAACCCCCTGGAGATTATTCAAGTGCCTATTTTGAACAAAGCAGGGCACTAGGTCAGAGGTCAACAAACTTTCTGTCAAGGGCCACAGAGTAAATATTTTAAGCTTTGTGGGTCGCGTGTAGTCCTTGTCACAGGTACTCAACTCTTCTGTTGTAGCACAAAAGCCACCAGAGACAACATGTAAATAAATGGACGTGGTTGTGTTCCAACAAAATTTTATTTATGGACACTGAAATGTGAACTTCATATAACTTTCACATGTCATAAAATATTCTTTTGATTTATTTTTCAACCATTTAAACATTCGAAAAGCATTCTTAACTCATGGGCTCTACAAAAACAGGTGGTAGCTCGGATCTGACCCCCAAGCCGCAGTTTGCTGACCCTGCACTGGGTACTTTCTCCAGCCCGCAGAGGCACTGAAACCCGCCACCAAACTCCAGTTACCTTCACTGTAAACCAGAGACACTTATCATGACAATTTTTGCCTTGTTTGAACATTGCAACTTCTTGAATAATTTTGCCACTTTCAATTTCTCCAGCTTTCATCTACCCATTTGCAATCCCTAAAACACAGTCCTTTAGTTCTTAGTAAAAAACAACTGATGCCTTAGTCCCCTCTCTCTCACCACCACGATGCTGTTAAGGACTGACACAGGGCCCTAAATGTATTTTTATCTGAAGCTTTAAAAGATACCACCTGAAGCTATTCAGTAGACAACAAGGAGTAAAAATTGGTAAAGAGGTTCCTACAGGCTCCTTGGGAAGGTTTTGAAGGTGAAGTTTCTAGCTCTGAAATGATCACGCTCCCACAAACTCCCGCTGTCAGACTGGACACGAAGCTGCGGCTCTCTTCACAGATCTGATCCAGTGGGGTGATGTTTCTATTTTCGTATTCTTTTCAGATGGCTAAGTAACTGGCTGGTTTATTACACGATGATGGGAAATGCCTAGAGTCACTGTAGCACATGAGAAGAACCTAGACTTTGTTGTCAAAGATCTAGATTTGAGTCCGCACTCTGGGTGATCTTTGGAAAGTCACTAAACCTCTCGTAGCCTCAGTTTCTCCATCTGGAAAACAGAGATGATCATCATATCCACTTCACAGGGTTGTTCTGAGGTTCAAAGGAAATAATATATATGTGCATAATAAACAATAAACCACTACACAAAGATGAGTGTGTTTGTTCATTCAGCAAAAGTGTACTGAGGCTGTTGGCTATGCACTGAACTAGATGCTGAGAACGCAAACGTTAACTCGAGAAAAATTTCGTGCTCCAAGAGCTCAAAGGCTGGGAAAGAACAACTCATTAAATTACAATGTGGAAAATACTTCAGTGGAGGTCTATGTACTGTGTGGTCAGAGATGTACCTCAAACCTCAAATATTCACAATTAAAACTTCTCTCCAAAAAAATTTAAATCCTAATCTTTCTGTTTTATTTCCTTCTGAGGCAGAGAGAGGGGAACTTAGGACAGAACCCTTTTCTCTCAGTATCCACTGGACCAATCAGGAAAGATTAGGGCCAGAAGAATTGTTCCACTGAGCATCCTTAGAGATCCCTATCAGAGCCTGAGCATGCAAAAGAGAAAAGGGTCCCATTACATCCAGCCCTCCCTAGGGAAAGCAGCTGTTTGCATCTCCTGCCTAGAGCCCTCAGAGACTGCAAATAAATCTGTGGCTTATTCAAACCAGATGCTGGATAATAAATTATGGCTGGTGGCCCTGAGTGCAGCTGGGACCAGGAGTGATAGATATGCTTAGCAGGGAGAGGGTAGCAACTCGACTTGGAGAAAAATGTCTTGGAAAACTCAGACCAGCCCTTTGGAGGTTGTGTCTATACAGGGCCCTGCAGCCACTCTCCACCATTTCCTCACAGCCACGACCAGTCTCCCCCAGGAACAATGGTGTATCTGCCAGGAGGATTCTATGGGAGCATGGTTGAGAGAAACTGGATTTTGTATCCTACAATGAAGTTAGAGATAGGAGGAACCATGGCTTACCTCCTACCTCTACCCCTTACTTCCTGCCCCGCTGCCCCAATTCCCTCTCTCACAGCAGACCCATCCAGATGCCCCACCCCACTTGAGCAGGGAGATGGGTGGAGATAGCAATAGGGAATAAATAAAGTCAAAGGTAAGCTCTGGCCATAAAGTGACTGAGGTACAAGAAAGGAAAGGCTACGTGACTTTGTGGGTCTCTGGTTGAGCTGTATCTGAGAGGACAGAGCAACGCTCCAGTGAGTCAGCACCCAGACAACCTTGGTGAGTAAACCCCATTATCCAAGCTGCAAACAGAGAATACACAGTCCAGGATCTGCTCTCCACACTGTCTGATGCAGCCTTCTGACAAAAGAAAAGCACCCACTATCACAGCAGAAGACTCTAACTCATCCTTCTATTCCCCAAAACCCCTGGCCCAGGACCTCATTCACAGTGCAGCATAACAAAGGCCAAGTGGACCACATAGATCAATTAATTAAGATTAGTAAGATGAGCAAGTAGGGTGAAATTACGTGCTGTGGAGTACACTATATTAGCTATATGTTTATGTTTTATATTTATACTTTTGACTACGATTTCTTCAACTTTACTTCTTTCTGGGGAAGAGAGAGATTTATTTTAATATAATAAAAATTAAATATCTCCAAATATTGAAACAGATTGCTTTAACCTTCTTGTGACTAAATCAACTTGCTAAATGATGAAAATGCCTTTGTCTTTGCAATTTACCTTCTCATGAATTATTTAACTAATTAATTCATGCATCCGTATTCTAATATCTAAAAGTATGATTTACATGTTTGGCCCTGCTTATATTACTTGTACCTGATGGCAGAAGTCTTTGTTTCCAAGGCTACGTACATAACTGAAGAAGATGTCTGGCAAGTCCCAATCTGAAGAAATCATTCTCAAAAGTCAGACCTATGGCCTGAATCTCCATCCTCTCTGGTCCCCCGGGGCATGGGGCGATGTTGACTACCCCCTCCTTTCTCTCCACCTTTGGCTTCTGTATCTGTTCAGCTGCCTAGTTTTTCTCCTGTTTCCTTATCCATCAAGACCCCTTCAAACATATAACTTACTCGCAATTTGTACACTGTATCTGTTGCCATCACTAAGGTGACCAACCACCCAGGTTTTAAAACTGAAAGTTCCGCATCTCAGAAAAACCCTGGGTCCTGGGCAAGCCGGAAGAGCTGGTCACCCCAGCACCACCCACATAACTAAGGCTACATTCATATTTCAAGTATTACTTTCATCCAGAGCCATAATATTCACTCTAGTTCCATTCCTGTATGAGCAGACATACACACACTTGAACTTCACATACATATACACATACGTACACACACATGACCTGCTTAAAATCCCCCAATAGCTTCCGTTACCCGGAGACCTTCAGATGGGCATGCAAAGCCCTCCACGCTGCATCTCAAGTCTATCTTTTCTGACAGATCTTGATGCTTTATTTTATTCACTCTACTGAATATAATCATTTAAAGGACCTAATGGCCTGGTTCCCTTTTTAAATTTTAATTATGGAAAATTTCAAACATAACACAAAAGTAGAGAAAATAGTACAATGATCCCCTAT